ATCCCAGCAGTGCATTCCTGTAGCTGTGACCCATCAGACAGAGACCGGGTGATAATGAACCACCACACAAAATCTGTGAGATGATTTTTAGAGTGGCATATATGAAGTCAAACGTGAGCTCTGGCCTGGACATAAAAATAATAATAATAATAATTATAATAATCAATCACATAGCAATTAATTTAATTATTAATCTGCCTCATTATAAATGATAAGCATACACAAGTTATAGACTAGTAGAAATGGAAATAAAAAATATTTTAAATGAAAATATTATATTATTACTATTTTTACAAATTATTTTCCATATTTCCAACTGAAATACAGAATATAATAGTAAACACAAAAATATTAATATATAAACCAAGCTTAATGGTGCAACACTTGTTGACCAAAATGTCAAATATTGTCTAAATTATTTAAAAGCAAAAAGGCTGGGATAAAATATAAAAAAGACTTTTGAATCTTTGTGACTTAAATAAAGAATAATTTGTTTTTACTGAAATATCTAGATCCAAAATATTTTTCTGTTCCATAAAGAAATAAATAATACGGAGCATGAAAACAGGAGTAGTGCAACTGAGAGCGCGTCAATTTGTTAACGCTGTGACTCCCTCAAACAGCCAGGCGCTCTCTCGCACACTTACATTTTGGTTACACAATGGAGATTTCACAGACACAGATAAACAATGCGAGGCCAGTTATCACTCCACAGAGCACAGTAACGCAGAGGAAGAGCATGACAAAGAAACAGGGGGAGGACAAAAAAGATGGCGTGTGTGTCGTCAGAGTCACAGGCCAGAGGGGACTGCACATTGTTCCCCGGCTCGGCATACGGAGAAGAAGGCGACCTGGGCAGCCTCTATCTAAGCGTCCTCCATGTTTTATGCATTCTGTCCTTTGTGATGATAAGCACCAGTACGGAGGGTGGAATGTTGGCCTCCAGGGTCCAGAAAGAAGGGTGGGCTTATTAGGAGCAGCATGGGGGTAGGGGGTACGAGGGTGACCGGGGTGCAGCTCTGTTTTTATTTTGCAGCTCTCGCTGACATTCATGCCTGGCTCTCATGTGGGCATGTGTAGCTTCTGCAGACACATCCCTGAACATGAGCTTGCTGCTGGTCCTGCTGCTTCGAACAGGATGGAGTCAGCACCCTGCTCAACCCCAACACACACAAAACTGCCAGTCATGTAAGTGCACGCATCACACAGGTCTCTGACTCAGAGTCAGTACATCAGCAGAGAGAAAAATCTGACTTTACCAATGTTACAAGAGCAGTATTAAGCAAAATACTTGGTTTGATATCAAACTAATATATGTATTAAATAAATAACATTCACCTCAAGGATACAGAGGAACATTATACTCTCCTTATTTGACTGTATCTGCTTTAATTCATTGTTAGAAAAAACAGAGTTTTTAAAATAAATATTTCACATATTATTCAGCCCTGTTCTGTCACCTCGACAATATCAGTGTTAGGGTGAAAAAAGGAAGTATATTTTGAGCTTAAGCTTTTTTCCCCATTATGTATAGCAGAAAATCAGAATCATTTTGCTGCATGACACCTAAAGTCAGATTTTCTCTGTACCCATGCCAAAATATTGATTAAAACCAAAATGATGTGAAGAGACATAAAATTTTTTTTTTAAAGAAATCAGATTTAAGAAAATGTTACACAAATAAATCTGGGTGCTACTGCTCACACACACTAACACACACACACACACATTAACTGTGACACATGCGCATCTTCTGTGTCATAAATCTAGTCTACCACAATGATTTAACCATGATTGTTAACACGATAACATGTTGTGAAAGAACAAACCACAAGAAACCCCGCCAACTTCACTTCAAATAGATAAAACGGTCCACAGTGAGGAGGGAAAAAAATAGGCGAACTCTAATGGAAACAAGGCGGGGGAATTTCTGTGTGTGTGTGTGTGAGAGGGGGGGTGCTCTCTGCAGATGAAGAAGACACACTCTGGACTACTGGAATTAAGGATCAGGTGGAGGATCCATTCACCCTGTTTGGGTGCCTTCACACACACACCTGACCATCGAATCCTTCCCACTCACAGTGCTGAGCAGGAGCACTGCTGCACACCTCTGCAGCTCAAACCATTCCTGGTAGCCAAGATGAGTTTTTACTGGACTCGGCTGCAAAACGACCAAAAGAAATCTGTCAGCTGCACTCCTCTAAACATTCATACCATTAAGCGGAGGAGACGAGGCTCCTGGTGTTGCTTTCTGGTTTCAGAGAATACACACTCGGCACAATTACACACATATCTTTATTTGTGGAGCTGTGTATCCGAAGACAGAAATTAATGCAAAATGTCTGGTAATTACAGGGAGGATGAAGAGTTAAAATAAAGCAAATAAGGGATTTATAGTAATTGCATTAATAAATAATAAGCATTTGCTATTTTTCCTATATGTGTGGGTTTTCCAGCAGATCTCTGTCTCTGTGCTGAAAATTCTATGTATGCACCCATCCAGATCCTCACCCAAAGAGGGCTCCCTCTAACCGAAGACGTGGCACAGACACCCCCAAAACACACAGTGCCACATCCTAAACAAGGAGAGGTCGTTAAAGAAGGGAAAATATGCAGAGATGCCAAGAGTAAGATAGGAAGAAGGAGACGCACTAGTGTGCGGAGGCGAAGGGTATGACAGCCAGAGGCACTGTTCCTTTCTCTGTATAACCCCCCCCTCAACCTACCTCCGCCTCACGCCAAACCAAAATGCAAGCCAATCCGTGACGACTGCGGCTCCCCCCTTTATCTCATTTGCCAAACTGCTGGACGCTGTGTTCCCACTCATACAGACAAATGGCATCTAAATTTTCTGTATATACCGCTAATCAAATGTGGCTACAGACGTGGGTCAAGTGCAAACAGTACACAGCACAGAATAAATGGCTACTGGACAGCGTGTAACCATAACCAGTATTTCTTTTTCTTTTTTACTGAAAACAATGATAAATAACACTTCAAATGGAGCTACTAAATGTAGGACATAGAAACTGCAAAAAAGCATGCCCCTTGCAATCATGAATGCATGCAAACAAAAATAAAATAAAATATTGAAACAAACATCACAGCATTAAATTAAATAAGAGAAAAAACTGCAAAAATATTTACTTTTTTGGCAGAAATTAAAATGTACCAAAATTTTGTTAAATATTTCTTTAAAATGTGACTGTGATAACAAATAAATAAAAATATAAAAAATGTACAAAATAAAAATCAAGCTAATTCATTAGACTGACTGATGGGAATGAATTTGATTCAGAGGTGTAGATTTAAAAACTGCAGCTACCAGCAATAAACAGAACACCTAAGTTGGTTTTGTGAAGAAATTAATACAACCTGTGACATCCCCATACCTTTTACTGGAACTGTTATAATTAAATATACATATGAAAAAGGGGCAAGGTAGGAGAATTAAACAGGCAGGTGGAATAAATAAACATTTGTGCTGTCTTTGTTTTGTAAGAAAGGGAAAAGAACGAGGAGGAGGAGGAGGAGGAGGAGAAGGAGAGGTGTTTCACTGTCAAACAGCACAGGAAGGGAGACTATTGCTCGGTTCTGTTTGTTTGTTTGTTTGTTTTTTCGGGGGGGTGGGAGTCAAAGCAGCCTTCCTGTGTTATAGAGCATCCATAGGTTTCTGATCACAAGAATCTTAAGTGTCCTGTGCACTCCAATAAAGCTATAGTGTGAAGGCGTGTGTAAGAAAAACTGGAAAGCACAATTACTAAATTATAACAAGTATTTTAAATTTGTGAATACTTCTTAAGAGACTAAGTTTCTTGATTTCCTTATACTTCTATCTCCTGTATAAAATGCAAGGATCTGTTTACCTGACCTCTTCCTCTATGGCCCATGGCTATCTGACCTCTCTGCTCTCCCACCCTGACAGCCCCTCCTCCTCTTCATCTGTGGATGGAGTTTCTCTCCGTTTGCCGATTAATTTCATTAAAGCCGGTCTAATGTGGATGCTCACATCTTTAAATAAATCAAAAGCCCTACCCCTGCAGACGCTGACAACATTATGAACACAATTTTGAGTTACCCCCTTCCAAAAATTTATAATGATTTAAACAATGTTAAAAATAAAACTCAACAACTCAGATCAACCTTTTCTTTTTCCTCCCCAACCAGAACCACCTCTCTGCCCATTATCCTCTTGGCTGTTTGGAGGGGTTTCCTCTCTTTCTTTTTTATCTCTGCACTCCCTCAATGACCCTGTTCCCCTCTGCTTCTTGCTGTCTGACCTAAACGCCCCACACCCCCAGACCCCTTGCACTCCCTGCAAACACTCTCACAACTGCCACCCCCACCACCCCTCATCCTTCTGCTTTACCCCCCAACAGTGCACACATCCTATCAACGTCTCTGCTCATTTTGCAAAAAACATTTTACCTACTTTCTTTTCTTACATTAATATGCGCAAAAAAAAAAAATTAATCACCGTGTTTAAATGACCGTATTTAGCTTTTCTCTTACAAAAAGAAAAGAGAACTACTTGGATATAACGATAATTGACATTTTTGCATTTTAATTGTATATTTTCTCAATTAAATTTTTTATTTTTTTGCCTTTTTTAGGGGGGTTATTGTCAGAAAAGGCCTCTTTTGCATTGCAGATAGTTTTTTTAGTTGTTTGAATCGTTCTGGTTTTGCGTATTTTTGGCTTTTTTACCCCTTTTCCTCACTTCAACCGAGGCTGTAGGTAAAAGCGACCCGCGGATGCATCTAAAGTTTTCGCTGGTAACTGTCCGTTCCTTATAGGATCCTGGGGGCCAATGTTTAAGGCAGCGTTTTGTTTCTCTTTCTCTTGAAAGTTAGACTCGGTAGCCGAGTATAGTTGGAGACAGCAGAGCCAACCTCCCTGTCTCTTCCCTGAACCCACATGTCTGATCCCTCGTCACGCAGCACCCACTCTGAGGCTGTCCGTGTTCGGGGTCTTGTTGATCCGCTCCTGTCACGCCGGTGCTTTTTTTTTTTTCAAACAACACAACATTCAACTCAACGCAGAGCCCCCCTCATGCGCGCGCGCGCACGCACAACACACACGCGTGTCAATCGATCTGCATGTGACTCCGTCAGTGAATGAGCGAGAATCAAGTGGAAAAACATCAGCGAAAGGAGGCAAACAGCTGATGTAAAATTTGGAAAAATAAAAAAGCTGTAACGCGGACAAAGTGTTGCGGAAAACTGAAAGGGGGGGAGAGAGAAAAGTGTTCGGCTAGAAGGAGCTGAGGCAGGGCGGAGGGATTGCACATTTTACGCAAGAAACGTCGGAGAAGAACAAAACTGTCCTCAGCCAGAAGAGGATTTTATAAGAAAACGAAGGTGGCGCAACTCTCTGGATGTGGAAAGTCTTAAAACTATCCATAAAATAAACCAGCGAAAGATGCTCCCCGTTTTTCCCCGGACGCCCACGGACCCCACAGGCTGGACTTGGAGCTCCTTCCCTGGGCTGCGCTCACCAGGAGCTACCGCTGCCCCTCGTCCGATCTCCACAGCTTGTACCCCACCTCCTTGTTGCATTTGTGCTTTAAAAACACGTCTCTCAACATCCATTAGCCCTCCATACCACTTTCCCCCGATCCCACCAAAGCAACAAAAACAAAACAAACCGAATCTGTTTTTAAAAGCGTGTTTTTCTACAACCAGCTGCTCCGGAGTGGATCGCTGTCTCACCCGTTTCTTATCTTCCATTCATGAGAGGAGGAGAGGACGGAGCGCTCATGTAAACACAGGTAACGATACGGATCATCAAAACAGGAGATCGAGAATAAAAGCAAAAGTATGAACTTGTGATCGGTGGTCCAAAAGCAAGAAAATAGAGACGGTAAACCCCACGGACAGAGTGGCTGAGATAAGTCACACAGCGAGAGAATAGGATCGTGGAAACAAGAGAGGGGAGGAAAAAAAAGAGATAAACGCAAAGTTGAAACTTACAATTTCTCGCTGCCGCTTTGTGATCCTCGCTTTTTAATCCAGTATTGTGGTGATTTAGCTAAAGATCCCATCAAGGCAGTCTCCTTTTGGTCAGTTTGCGCTTAGGGTGGCAAAAGAAAGATCATTGTTGTTGCGGAGTGTACAAAAAAACCGAAGTAGGTAGGCTACTATTAGTTGTTAAAGGCGATATAAAAATAATTTGGATGCAAAGCAGGCGATGAGTCTCGTGTTAGAGGGAGCGAGGAAGAGGTGAAAGTGAGATCTGATGATTGAAAAGAAAAAACTCTTTGGATCTTTATTCCTGCTAATTAGTTTCCTGCAAAAAATGGCTGTGATTAATTCAGTGCGCATGTGCTTCATTACACAGGCACGAAGGGAAGGGCTAATTAGCCGCCTTCTGGATCAATAAGATTCAGCAAAGGAGAGAGGCTCGGGAGAGAGAGGGAGGGAGGGAGATAGAGGAGGGAGGGAGGGAGGGATGGATGGATAGATACAAGTGGAAAAAGAGGAAAGTAATGATCAGGAATTGAAAATATGGAATTACGAAGAGCGGAAAGTAAGAGTTTGATTAGACGGAAGGCTGAAAGTTAACCAGCCACAGGCTCCCTTTAGATCGCTTTTTTTCTCCTCACTTTTAAAGCGTTTTTTCTTTTATTTTAAACTGAAAAAATAATAACTATAATTAATGCAGCCTCAGCAAAAAGCGACGCTACTTAGTTTAATCGAGCCGTTTATAGTTTTCGCCTCAAAAACTCGAGTTGTAATCGTTTTAAAAAAACTTATTAAAAATTATAACTGTGTTTTTGATAACAGGGGATTATAAACTAACATAAATGAGCGATCTGAACCGCATACAACCATGCATTTTTTTGAATGTGAGTAAAAGTGGTTTCATTTATCGCGCGTTTAAAGCTTTTCCTTTACGCAGAGCTGGACAGTAGCAGCAACACATGAGCTGGCACGCTGCAAGGGCTGCTGTAATCTGCAAAGACCAGAGCTTACCGTAAATACAGTGCCACCTGCATATTATCACGGTTAACTGTGTATTTGGACAGGTAAATATATATTTTAAGCATTAAGAAAAAAAAATACCTCAGAGAATTAATATGTAGTTGTTCTGATTGCGCAGCTTTAACTTTGATAAAGTTCATAACTGGATGGATGCAGTCGGCAAAATTATTATTTTTTTGTTTACATAAGGCTTTATTAAAAAGAAAAAAAAACACATCTCAAACCAATGGCTCTTTTAAACATTAATTTAATTAAGAAGTAATAAAATAGTAAAATTCGAGCTGATTTACCTTATTTAAAATAATAAAATGTAGTAGGCCTAACTAAGAAATGGATATGCCTACTTTTAAAAGGGGGCGTTAGTGCATGTTTTATTTACCTCTTATTACCAGCTCACGGATATTTTGCTACTTCAGAACACATAAAAATGAAATAAATCCTACGGAATGCAGCACAATTTTAGCTTTTTTTTTTTACTCTCAGTTAAGTTAATCTGTTTGCACAATGTTTCAAATTTCAGGGTGTTCTGGAATGACCGATTTAAGCCTCAATGCATTCTCTATGTGTTCATGATTTAAATGAGAATAAACAAGATGTGAGAATAAATACTTGTAAAATATGAAGAGACGCCAGTAAAAGGCATGTAAGTGTAGGTGTGATGAACCAGCATGCCTTTGTGACATCTGGTTCCAAACTTGTAAGAAGACGTTTTCAAAACAAGTGGGTTCTCGTAAATAACAATAATAACGGTATAAAACAGCGTGAGTCAAACTGACCAGGATGTTTTATCCAGCTCCTGGATGACTGTTTTGGATTTAGATCTATGACCATATTATATCACTCTGAGATCGTATCATAAGGTGATCAGAATTCAGATAAACACATTCATTTTGTACGTTTCTCTTTTAAACACAAAATGAGTTTGATCGTTTCCTGATTTTGATAATATTGGGGGGAAAAAAACATTTGAGTTTCTTATTGCTCTTTTTTTCTCTCCATCAGAATTCTATTGTTGGTTCTTTGATACGTGGACAATCCCTGCCTGTCTTGCACACACTTACTGTGCAAACAGCTCTGTGTGTAGAGCGCAAGTTTCTGCGAATACAAGCAGCAGCAGCTTTCACTGAGCGCCTTCCACTGATTAAAACAACACGGATTTGTTAGTGGCGTCAATAGGCTGAATTCCGTGGCTGATCTTAATATATACTAAATGAATTACATTTTCACATTTAGATATTACCCTAGCAATCTAAGAAAAAAAGGAAAATTCTGCTAAGTTATAACTGGATTTTTTAAAAATCTGACGTGTGCGTATTTATGTATATTTGTGTTCTCTTATTATTTTAAGGCTGCACCAACTTCTAACGGTTGAAAACCTTCATGATGTTCTTGCTTGAGAACGATAGCTGATGAAATAAGTAGACCATATTTTATGTACTCTAAGGGCCCTTCGACTTAGAGGTTAGATAGGTTATGAACCCCCCAACCCCTCTATCTCCCCCGGGACGCGCAGTTTCTACAGATCCAGTAGCATAGGCCTATATTCCTTTGAAGAGACTCAAACTTCTTACATTGTAGCCTGTATGACCAACTCACCCCCCTTTTTGCACAAAACTCTCCCTCTTTCCCTCACCTTTCCTCCCTCACTGTCCTCTCCCCTCTCTCCCTGCTGCTAAAATGTATGGGGTGCTGTAACATGGCATTTCCTCGGCAGTCCACTGGCACTGATACCTGTTTTTAAGTAATGCAGCACCTGCTGTATAGAATCCCCCATCCAAAAATAAAGCAACATAAATAAATGAGTAAATAAACAAACCACTCAAACAGTTTGCGCACCCCCTTTTGCAGGAGACTGCAGGAATCTCGAGGATTTGCGACGCGTCTGCTCTCTCTGGAAGCGGAAGATTGTAAAAATGAATAGGTTGGAAATAGCGTGCGAGCGGAGTTAAAGGGGGCTAGCAGATAATAAACGAGTCTGGTGTACTTTGAGGCTTGCATGGAGGCAGCTTTCAGCCAGTCGCATGCCTGCAACAATGCCAACTTCAGTTTACAAATTAATGCAAAGGCCTGATTGACATTACTCCATCAGTGGCCATATTGAGCAGGGTGCTGGCTAAATAAAATAAAAAAAGGAGCTGCCAGACGGAGGCCTTCATGCTTTTAGGGCCTATGCTTGAGTGAAAAGAGAGGAAGGGGGGAGTTGACAGGGTCTGGGGCTTTTGTGTTGCCAGCATTCAATTGCGCCTCTCAGTGGGAAGGATAGGCTAACTGTCCACGTGCCAGCCTCAATAGGCAAGCCGCGATGAGTGGCATTGCAAATTCAACGCAACCTGTGGGTATGACAGCCCCGTGGATATGACAAAGAAAGCCAGAGTGGCTTAAAAATGCAAAGTGCTGTATAGATGCGAAGGCGCGTGGAAGTGGTTGACCATCATAGCGCACTGAGACATAGGGCCAAGCCCCATACAGTCACTGCTTGGAGAGATGAGGGGAGGCTGTCGCAAGCAGACCCACGTGCACGACTTGTCAGAAACATTTATTTGAATGTTTTCAAATTGAATTACAAGTTATTCTCTGGTAAGGGCTACGGGCGCGCGCACACGAGCCTGTGTGCGTCTGCACGCGCTCTCGCAATCCAAGACAAAGCACAAAAGGAAGCAGAGGAAATGAGCAGGGGTGAAAGTATTTAAAGATAAAAGCTGTGTTCAAGAAACAGTCCTATAACTTTATAAAGAGATAACGACTAATATATTTCGAAGGATTTAAGGGGATATAGGATCATCATAGGCTGTAATAATAAGGAGTGCACAGTTTGGGTTGCATGTTCAGGCTGTGGTAAACAGAGATGAAAAGGACATTATAGTTTTCTTAGAATACATTTTGGTTAAGATTAGAATTTGGAAATATTCGGATAAAAAGTAGAGAATGAAAACTTGTTAAGTGATTGAAAAACAAAGAAATGCAGGTTTCATAATTTTTCTATTCTAATACAGTTTCAAAATTAATTATATTCAACAATGTTCAAGCTGAAATTCCTATTATTTCCTTACTGATTCACCCTATTTATTAAAAAAAAAAAATCTGTCCCACAAAGTGATTCAGAAAAAGCTGTTTACCCCCAAATCACACATGGGAGTATGGCGTACTCCTCTCCCTGTGACTGGGTGGATAGGGCAGCAAAACCAGGTGCAATGGCAGCGCCCTCTTATGTTCAGCCTGACCACTGGGATCAAGCAGAGCGGCAGCTGTTCCACCTGCGGACTAACTGCTCTCTGCAAAGCGCACCTTTACCTTCCTTGCAAACTTGAAACCTGAAGCATCTCAAAAGATCTAAAACAGTAGCAGGATATAAGAAGACATATGACCAATTTTGGAAGTTCAATTCAATTAACACTGGAATGTATTTAAAAAAGAAAAAAAAAGGCGTGTTATCGTCAAACGTGGTTGAAAGTTTTATAGTTAGTAAGGAGCATACTGTAATGGAAAAAAAAGTTGCAGAAGTTTAACATTGATCAAGCTTCAATTTGACTGAGATAAACAGGATAAGCACAGGCAGCGCCGTACTTCATGCAGAAATGCAAATAAATCAAACAATATTCCACGAATATGGGTCTTAATTTATTTGCAAGAATCAACTATGGTAGGCTATATTAGAAATGTGTTTGGTAAAGCATCGTCTAGGATGCTTCAAGAGCATCTCTGATGAAATGAGGACAAATTGTTCAACTCACCTGAGTTTCTTTTAATCAATTATATATATATATATATATATATATATATATATATA